TAATGTGACTATTGCACTTCATATATGGAAATGTACCCTCAATCATTTTATACTTCCAGCATATTAAACAACATTTTTTCTTTTAAAAAATTGAAATATCAATTAATTATGAAAAAAATATGTCAATTGATTTCACTATAGGATCAGCAGTCTTACTTGAGCTTTGTTTTGCTTTAAAGCTGAGAAGCTTCCAATTGCAAGGATTGGGTACAAAGATATTTTTTCATCATCACTGCAAATGCATCTGGTTACTGTACATGAACAGTTATTAAAAACAGACAATTGCTAATAACTAATTAATTGTTGCTAATTAATAACAATTAAATTCAACCTCAATTAATTTAATTAATTAAAAAGTTGGAAATCCCAATTTGGCTGAAACTTGCTCCATAACATTTCACTGAGCCACATCAAAATTCTTTCCCTCACCCAACAATACTTCCACTACTGAGTCATTTTTTTTCTGAATATATATTTTAAATATCAATGAACAATCTATTCTTGTCAAGGATTGATGCTATTTTAGAAAACAGCACTTGTTTTTTTTTAAAGTAATATTGTCTGTACAATATATTTGATTTTGATTTGATTTGATTTGTCTTGTATGCTGCCCACTCCAGAAGGACTCGGGCGGCTCACAATAGACAAGGGAAAGGGGGAAAACTAGACAAAGACAACACTTTAAAAACAAAACCACAACATTCACAATTTCCGTGGGGCTGGATGGATATTTCACAGCCCCCCCCCCCGGCCAGCTGGAGCAGCCAGGCCTTGGTGGCTTTGCGGAAGGCCGGGAGGGTAGTAAGGGTCCGGATCTCGACAGGGAGATCATTCCAGATATGACAGAGTTGCTATCAGAGGTTTTGCATTAACAAGGTTGACTCAACCTTTCATCCTTCTGAGGTAGGTAGAATGTGGACCCAAATTGTTAAAATTGTTGGGGGTAATAGGCTGACTCTGTAAGCTGCTTAGTGAGGGCTGTAAAGTACTGTAAAGCGGTATATAAGTCTAAGTGCTAACAATTGACAAAAAAAATGATAGTAATTTGCATATTCATCAGCATCTTTACCAGCATTGAAATGTATCATTATAGAACCCTCATTAAAAGAAGGGAAAACATGATTTAAAAATTATTACAAACTTTGAGTGATATAGAAGAAAAAAAAGTCTAGATCAGTGATGGCTGAATCCGTGTGCATTTGTCTGGGCCACAACCTGGAAGAGAAGCTGCCCAGGGGGCATGCATGCACCAGAAAATGAACTTCTGGTTTCTGGCATGTGCATGCACTGGGCAGCTAGTCTTCTGGTTACTGGTGCGCATGCACACATGATAATTAGCTGGCTGGCATGCATGCTCACGCCAGAAAATGACCAGCTCTTCCAATTTCCAGCACTGCCATACAGATGAAGGCCAGTCGATCGTCGCGCATGCATGCGCACCAGGAACCCAGAAGAGGAACAGCTGACATTGCACTATGCCAGGTGACATGGCTCCACGTGCTACCTCGGGCACATGTGCCATAGGTTCGCCATCACATGTCTAGATTATTTTTAAAATATTAACTTCTCCTTGCATGAATTTTAAAATTAATATATAAAATATAAAAGCAAAATAATGATGATGTATTCATTCATATTCCTTATACATTTTACAGAAAAGTAAGCTATTAAATATCTATTTATAGCAGAAAAAAATAAAATCTGGTTTTGTCTATCTCAGCGGTTCTCAACCTGTGGGTTGGGACTCCTTTGGGGGTCGAATGACCCTTTCACAGGAGTTGCCTAAGAACATCGGAAAACACATATTTTCGATGGTCTTAGGAACCAAGACATCAATTTGATGGTTGGGGGTCACCACAACATGAGGTGTTAAAGGGTCGCGGCATTGGGAAGGTTGAGAACCACTGATCTATCTTATAAAAAAATGTAATGATGCATGTAAATATTGTGAAAAATAAAACAACTTCCAGCTATAGTAATTAATAAAACTGAAATGTGTCCCAGTAAGACTTATATTCTTATTATTCAGTCAACTGTAGATTTAGATGAAGATTGAAAGTTTGGGAATGAGATGGGGATGAAAAAAATATGTATGCTCGCAGTGAAGGATTTAAGTTTCCACATACTGTAAGTACCGAATTCAGCTACAGCATATTAACTTGTGATCTTTTATTTTTGTTTTTGTCAGTGATCTGTTTTCCATCTATAGATAATGATGAGCATACTCTGCCTCCCAAAGGACTCAACGGTAGAATATTAAAATCAGTAGAACAATCTTTTATGGAAATAGTTTGACAAGCAAGCTACAATAAAATAAAACAAGACAGTAAACATCTCAACTTGATCCCAAGTGCAGACAAGCAGCAGAGAGAATCTGGATGCTAAATGCTAAAAAGAAGAGTTTAAAGAACAAGATATATTTAGCCTAAAAAGGGGAGATTAAAGAGAGACCTAATAGTGGTCTTCCAATATCTGAAGGGCCATCGAAGGGCAAAAGGTATAGAGAAGGGGTGTCAAACTTGCATCATCATGGCATTGTCACGTGACGCCTTGTGACTTCCCCCCCCTTCACTAAACTGGGCATTGGCATGGCCAGCACATGATCCATCCGGACCATGGGCCGCGAGTTTGACAACCCTGGTATACAGTTATACTCCAGAGCAGCGGTCACCAACTGGTGGTCCACGATAAAATTTTGGTGCTCTGCAGAAAAAATTATTTGCATTTTTTATATTGCACTAAATCAGGGGTCTTCAAACTACGGTCCCTGGGACGGAGGTGCGTAATGAACGTTTGTGTTGCTGCAGAGAGTTTCCCCCTTTAGGATCTTTTTGTGTGGGTTGGAAGGGGGCAGAAGTTCAAACTTGGGGTCTGCTTTGGTCTCCTGGTACGGGGCTTTGGGTGAAGGCTGGAGAAAAGCATCGCTGGTGGCAAAGAGCCAGAGGGCCTTGCTGCAGTGGGACTGCATCATGGTCTGGAACTGGCTGACCGTCTCAGCCCATTGAGCCTCCAGGTGCCAGTTTCTGGCCTTGCATTCCAACAGGTTTTCCAGCTGCATGGAAAGCCTATGCTCATAGTCCTCAGTGAGGTGTTTCTGCTGAGCCTCCAATTTGAACTGAGCCAGCTGTTTTGCTACTCTTTCTCGTGGTGGCTACTTAGCTCCAACAACTGCTTCCTGTTGGAGCCCTAAGAAGTCTGGGCAGGCAGGCGAGGAGTCGGTGGGAGGCAGTGGTGGGTTCTGGATCCCGTTGCAACCGGTATGGTGCAACAGGGCCCAGTGTCCACCACATGAATGCGTGCAGCACACATGCATCCTTACCTCCTGCAACGCTCCATGACGCCTCCGTGATGCCCCAGCTGTTCGGCGGAGTGTTGTGCAGGCACCGTACGCTCCGTGCATGTGCGCAGAAGCACCGCACAGCTCAAATACAGGTAAGGATGGCGGGCAGGCCCTCCGGAGCACCGGACCGGAATGGTACCCAGTGCTCCCAGCAGGCACCGGTACACCCGTACCGGGGTGTACCGCCTGCAACCCACCACTGGTGTGAGGTGAGGGGCGAGTAAAAGCCGGCGAGATGCTCCTTGATGTGAGCGACATTGAATTGGTCATGCCCACCCAGTCACATGACCACCTAGCCACGGCCACTCAACCGGTCATTAGGCAGATCATATTAGTTGTCTGCGGGATTTAAAATTATGAATTTAATGGTTCCTGAGGTCCAAACGGTTGGTGACCCCTACTCTAGAGCCCTGAGAATAGGACAAATACCAATGATTGGGAGCTTAACAGAGAGAAAGGCAAACTTGAAATGAATGTTTTGATAACTTTCAAGCAATTGAATAACTTGCCTCCTGGAATTTTGTGTGCTATGTCACTGGAAGTCTTCAAGCAAGACTGGAGAGCAACTTGTCTGGGTTGGCCTGAGGATTTCTGCCTTGAGCAGAGAGTTTGACCAGAAGATCTGCAAGGTCTTTCCAACCCTATGATTTTATGATTCTATAAATTATGAAAGCAAATTCTTTAAAAAGGAAACTTTTATAACAGTTGTTATTTTGGCATGTTTTCCCACTAGTCTTCCAAGGCTCGGTACCTCATAAGACCAACAATCCTAACCTTGTCAACTCCAGATAGTATTGGAGAATTGGCCAAAGGTGCAAGATTCTATTTCCCAGCTATAAATAAACTAACCATTTTTCAGTTACTGCCATAATCTAGGATACCAGAGTTTTGGGTCTTTGGCAAGATAAATACATTGCATGTGGGGAGGGGGGGGGGGAAGTTATCATGTATGAGCTGGAGGCCTCTTCCTTCCTTTATTTTCCAAGGAAGACAATTTTCAGGAAGAGCAATTCATCTTGTGACTTCTGTGATCTATATCTTTCCCATTTCAATTGCCAAATACAAATGATGGGAAGGGTTATTAATAATCACACTGTTTTTACTGAATCATAGCTATCTGTGAAAATTCTTCAAATGGCTATGAGCCCCCTATCTAACGGCTACATCTTTATTCTCACATGTCATTTTAAGTGTGAATTCTGAATAGAATAGAATAGAATTCTTTATTGACCAAGTCTGTCAATAAAAGTGTGTCAAGGAATTTGTCTTTGGTGCATATGCTCTCAGTGTACATAAAAGAAAAGATACATTCGTCATAAATCATAAGGTACAACACATGATAGTCATAGGCTACAAATAAGCAATCAAATCATATTAATCAATATAAATCGTAAGGCTACAAGCAACAAAATTACAGCCATACAGTCATAAGTGGGAGGAGATGGGTGATAGGAATGATGAGAAGATTAATAGTAATGCAGACTTAGTGAATAGTGTTGAGAGAATGATTTGTTTAGCAGTGTGATGGGGTTCGGGGAAAAAACCCAACAGTGAAAGTGAATTGATTTTTTTTTCTTCTAGATAAAATTGCAATTCAATTTTAGGCAGCAAAAAAAAAAGAATTTGAAATTCTTACTCTTGACTTAATATTTATGCTCACCTTGGTCCATGCTGTGGTTTCTAAGCCAGCTTTCAAACAGACGGTCACCACAACATACTGCAGTAAAAAAAAAGTAGAAGACAAATTTGAATTTCAGCATGTATTTCCCATTTCACAGTTGTTCTCTTGTTTTTCTTTGAGTTAAGGGTATACTACACTGCAAACACATGGTCTAAACATTAGAAATTAAATGCCACTTTTTGCTAAATAAAATATTTAGCACATTTCAGAATTGCAGAAATTTAGATGTGATAGGAGGAAATACACATACACACATCTTCCCATGCCTCTGTCCTCATTGTAGGATATAACAATTACTAACTAGCTATTACATAGCCCAACTACATGCTTAACATGCTTTGTGATAGACCTAATAGAATCAGAATAAATTATTTCTATATATTCCTGGACTTCTTAGCCATAGGACATGGCATGTAGGTGGTTTCTACTAGTACCTGTGGGAATTCCTGGACTTGACATATTGGAACCATGATAAGAACCAGAATAATTCACCCAATCATGAATCAGAAATATCTGAATATAAATTCTCATATATTACCAACAGACCTAAAATCAAATCTCTTCCTCAATGCCTCCAGTGTCAACTTCCAACAAGTTGCCATAACTTCCTTGGGCAAAATTCCTTATCTTTTAATAGCTGCCCAGTTTGAGAAATTCAACACATAGAACTTTCTATGGAGTAATAATGGCAACCGTAAGTACATTCTACACAATTTCAAATGGTCACTCACGCCCTCGTCACCTCAAGGCTTGATTACTGTAACACGCTCTACATGGGCTGCCCCTGAAGAGTGTTCGGAGACTACAATTGGTCCAGAATGCAGCCGCGCGAGCGATATCAGGTGTACATAGATACACCCATGTTACACCTATCCTCTGCGAGCTGCACTGGCTCCCAATCGGCCTCCAAACACGCTTCAAGGTGCTGGTTATCACCTTTAAAGCCCTATATGACCTAGGACCCGGATATCTGCGAGACCCCCTCCTGCCACATACCTCCCAACGGCCGATAAGATCTCACAGGATGGGCCTTCTCCAGGTGCCGTCGACCGGACAATGCCGGCTGCCGACTCCTCTGGGGGAGAGCCTTCTCTGTAGCTGCTCTGGCCCTGGGGAACGATCTCCCTGCGGAGATCCAGACCCTTCCCACTCTCTCGGCCTTCCGAAAGGCCACAAAAACCTGGCTATTCCGGCAGGCCTCGGGGTGTTGACC